TCTCTGCCGCGGCGCGGGGACCGCCACCCACCGCCGTCAGACGCGAGCCTGCCCCCCGACTCGTCCCCGGCCTGCGGTGGCGCTGAGGAAGGAGCCCCGGGGAACCGAGAGCAGGACGCACGGGGGCTGGGGGGGTGGGTAGGGTGGGCGCGGCGGTTGCTCCCCGACCTCCGCGAGGCTGGTGCCCATCCACCCGCCACCCATCCCATTGGTCAGTCTGCACGCGTCTCCTGGAGGGCTGGGCTCCCGCCGTCACTCATTCAAAAAGGCGTTGTGGCTCCACGCACTTAAAGACCCGCACACACGTGCCGCACAGGGCGGGGAGGGGCCCCCTGGATCTTAGAGACACATAGATGTATGTGGGGGCACCGCAAGGACGAGTCCCACCTGTGCCTGCCTGACCAATTAGAAGAGGACCCCCACCCCCTCTCCACCCCTCCACCAAGACACTCCGTGTCCTCAGCTGGAAAAGGGCTAAACGCAGGAGGGGATTCAGAGGTCAGTACCTCCTCGACCTCGTTCCCTCCTGACCCATCTTCGGCAAGGCCGGTCATATTCGTGCGCCCCCTGAGAAAAAGAAGTCTGTGTGGTTTTGAGTTTGAGCGGCAAGACGTATCCGTACCATGAAAATCTCGCCGAACGCCGCCACCTGCCCCAAACCGCTGCATCTGGGCCATCTTTGACTCCTTAGGACGGAGGTTAACGAGCGTTAGGTGTTAAAGACACATTCACATCCAACTGGGACGCTGTCCTGGATGGGAGAATGGAAAGGCTATCAGGAGTAAGAGCCGCCTAGATGAGTAACGCAGAGCGATTCCGCGCCCTGCCGACCCGGTGTCTCCCACCCCCGCCCCCGGCCCCCCGCAGGCATCACCGCGCCCCACACCTGAAGGGCAGCTCTGCGCTGGACTGGACTAGCTCTGAGGGCCGGCGCCGCTCATCATGTCCCCTACAACCGGCTCATTGCTTGACCTCTCCTAGGAGCTCCATGAACACTGGTGGAATGAGTGAGCGATTGAGCCAACAAACGAGGGCCTGGAAAATTTAAGGCTCGCACCCCTTACCCGCACGGGTGTCCAGCAGGTGTTCTGTAATGGTAGACATCAGATGGCTTGCACTGCCTTATTTAGTCTTCCCAACAACCCCATGCAGTCCCATAACTTTCGTTATGGACACGGATGCTGTGTTTCAGAGCGATTAACATATACACCCCCAAGTCACACTGCCTACCTACAAATCCTACTGGCGATGAAGGGACAAACGCCGGCAGGAGGGATCCAAACGGGCGACACTGAACTTTTGCCCCGCCATGACGACTTCGCCTGGAAGCTGCTGAGTGGCATGTGGCGAGCAAAGCTTGTCATAACAGAATGTCCCTCCCCACATAGTAATTCAAAGGTAACGAGGGAAAAAATAGCGCTTGCTTTTAAGGTTGACATGTTTAGGAAACTGGACGTGCCTGTCTATTATTAGTCCTTTAAGGCTCTGTCCGCTCCCGGGGGATGCGAGGGGGACATCTCAGGAGTCACTGCTACTGAAGTCACTTTCCTTTGAACCGATGAGCTGGAAGCTTGCAGACCACATCCTGCCTTTTGAACCGAGTCTGGATGGCTTTGGTCTGTAACAACAAACAGTGCCTCATGGGGCCTGGGGAGGCAAGGGCTGGTGGATCCCGAAGACCCACCTGACTCCCAGAGGGCCTGCACCGTCTGAAGGTCACGGGACACCGGTCCCACCAGGGCCAGAGCCCCATAGGGCAGAGGTCTCAAACGGGTGGCCCTTGAACACATTTTTTAGCCAGCCCAGTGAATTTTCTCTCTTGTTGTTCACATTGGGTAGAATTTAACCTAAATATCCAGGTTCTGACTTCTTTAGAAAAGAAAAAATACATATAGGGCTGCAGGGAGCCTTTCATTCATTTGTTTGTTTGTGCTGCAGTGAATTTATTGGGCACTCGCTTTTTGCCGGTCCACCGTGGTTATAGAAAGTAGAGAAAGGCCCCGCCTTCGTGGAGCTTACAGTATAACGGGGAAGATGCACGATAAAGCAGCAAACTAAAATTCTGTACTAGACGGAGATTCACACCGCAAAGAAAAAGCATGATCGAGGAAGGAACAGCGGCAGTGGCCAAGGAGAGCCTTTAAAAGGGGGCGAAGACCCGGATGAAGTGAGGGTCCTGAACCAGGGTGCTAGCTGAGCATAGAATGTTCCAGACAGTGAACGCAAAGGACCCTGGGAAGGAGTGCACTTGGCATGTCAGAGAAGCGGCCGGAGTGGGGAGCGGGAGGCGGAGGCAGGTGGAGGACGAGGTCGGCGGAGTGGCGGGGCCATCCCTGGGGACGCGGTAAGGAGCTCGGACTTCACTCCCGTGAACGGAGAGTTGAGGGCAGAGTTTGAGGCCTGCGATGACTCACATTTTCTTTAAAGATGGCCCTAGACACTGTGGGAAAAACAAAAGGGGAGAGAAAATAAAATTGGGAGAGCGGTTGAGGTCATTTGAGTAGATGGAACAAGAGGTGACCACATGGCAAAGTGTCGCACAGAGCTAAAGGGCAGTGGCTCACTATAGGTCGGGCATGGGCATTCGAGGTCACCAGAGCCTCTGCATGGGCCATGCAGTTTATAAAGGGATGAGCACTGGCCGCTTGAAAGACTTCAGAGGCGATGAGGAGTCAGGTGGCTCTGGCTGGGAACGGAGTTCAAGGTCAGACTTGCTGCATATGTTAGCTTCCTGTGGCTGCCATAACAAATTATCACAAAACCAGGCGGCTAAAAATAATAGACATTGACGATCTCGTAATTCTGGGGGCCAGAAGGCCCTACTCCCTGCGGAGGCTTCAGAGGACAACCCGTCCTTGCCTCTTCCTGGTTCTGGTGACTGACCCGTTCCTCGGCCTCCTTGGCTTGTGGCCACATCACTCTCACACCCGCCTCCATCTTCACGACTTTCTTCTATGAGTCCCTCTTCTCCTCTTCCATCTGTCTAATCTCCCATCTTATCTTACAAGGACACTGGTCATTGGATTGAGAGCTCACCCAGATAATTTAGGCTGATCTCTTTATCCAAGACTCCTTAACCTAATTGCATCTGCAAAGAACATTTTTCCAACCAAGGAAGCTTTCATGGGCTCTAGGGATTAGGATGTGGACAAACTTGACTCACCGTGCATAACCTTGGGCTAGTCACCTCCTCCCTCATCTGTAAGATAGGGGCAGAGATGTCCTAGTCTGCCTTTCAAGTCTTCTATACTAAGATATACTAACATGGGCGTCACCAGCCACATGTGGCCATTGAGCTTTTGGAATGTAGCTCATCCGAACTGAGATGTGACAGTAAGTGTAAAATACACTTCAAAGAATCAAGTGTTTAGTATGAAAAAGAATGTAAAATATCTCATAATTTTTATCTTCATTGCCTGTTGAAATTAAAATATTTTGGATATATTGGGCTAAACCAGATTTTTTTCTCTAAAATTCATTTCACCTGTTTCTTATACCGCTTTAAAGTGGCTACTAGAGAAGATAAGATTATGTGGCTCACATTATTTTTCTTTGGACAGCTTTGTTCTAAAGAAGAGATTTTACGTAATTAAATTAATTAATTCTTTTTCTAACGAGATAACATACATAAGTGCTCATCTCTACTCCATGTGGCAACGGCAGTGGTGGCTTGACCGGAA